TAACTTTGACAGCAAGTTGTCTCTGTCTTTCACTTCCTGCTAATAAGAAAAACTTACAGGTTAAAGAGAAAGATTTATGAGACACGCAGTTGAAATGGAGATAGAAATTATATTGCTTCTGTTTGACATTCTACCCTCCTTCCTTACCCTCCTCTGCTCTTTCACAATCTCTACCTGTCATTGAGCTCAGCATGCCTGCTTTGATTCCTTGGTTAATGATACTTGAGGGCTTATTCTGGTCTTCAGAATAACATGTATCTTTGAAATTCAAGGAGCAATAGAAGAAAATGGCGAAACCTGTTTTGGGGTCATACCCTGGACTGAGTTGTTCTCTGTACCCGGAGGCAGCCATTTGGTCTTGTCTGTTGGTCCGTGATGGTCTGCTCTTCTCTAGTTCTGTCAAACCACAGTCTTGTCTTCTTGGTACTACTGATAGCTGTTTATATTGTTTTATGACTTGGGAAAATGAAACACTGCGTTTACTTACTGTCAAGTAAGAGAGGACATGGTAGAGAAGAGGAGACCCCGACCTCTTTAAGGACACATCCTGGGCAGGCACTTGTCCTGGGCAGGGAAACTGTAGATTGCGATAATCAAGGCCAGGGTGTGGCGAACCCTGAGGTCTTGAAGATATCTCGGTTTCTGAATGGCCTAGTTCACCTGAGTCTTTTCCAGGCCCAGTTATTGATGATTATGTAGCACGACCTGAAAGGGATTACTGGAATCTAGAAACTTCCTCCCCAGGGGAACCAAAAATAGACATCCCTCCTCTGAAAACCCGTGTTAATCTCCCAACTGCCTGGAAGAAATTTCCAGAGTGAGGGGGTTAAGCAACAGAAATTTATTGCCTCAAACGTTTGGAGGCCAGAAATCTGAGGTGAAATTTTGACAGCCCCTGCTCCCTCTGAAGTCTCTAGAATGGGGGTTCCGGGCTCCACACCTAGCTTTTTAATAGGGATTTGCAACAGCATACATCATCCATTACAGGACATTTGTCAACTTGTCCCTGCATCTATGACAGCCGTCTCCTGACATGCCAATCATGTTGGACTGTCTGGTGACCTCATTTTGATTTGGTTACCTCGGCAAGGTGTCCCCTGCTACGCTGTTGTGGTTAAGACTACAGTGGGTGGTTTTAGTTGTTTAGGTGGGGGAAGAGGTGGACTGTTGCATTCAACCCAAAACTTGCCTCAACAACCTGGAGCTTAGAATTTGGTCTGGATTCGGACGGCCAGATCCAGGCTTTTCCATGAGTCTCTCTGGACTTTTTAAGTCTCTCGCTGTAAAGTGTAGGACAGGCAAAGCCCTTGACTCCTCAAGTTACCCAAGCTGAAAATGGTTGCTATTATTATGAGAATGGCCCAACTTTCTACTAAGGGTTCCACCAACAGTGGATTAAACACAGGAATGACACTTGAGAGCTGGCATGATAAAGCAGCCAGAGAAGTGCTTGCCGAAAAGGAATAAAGACCAGCGTTCGATACCCACCCAGAATGCACGTAAGAAGTTGTGTGTGGTGGTAGTATGTGACTCTAGTTAAAATCCTGGGAAGGCAGAAAGAGGTATATTCTTGGAGCTCACTCATCAGCTTCCCTGCCTGACCTAATGAACCACAAAGTCAACAAGAACCCCTCCCCTCGAAAGGTGGACAATTTTTGAAGAATACCAACTGAAGAACACCCCCTGGTTTCTATACGCATGCGCGCATACACCACATGAATGTGCACAAGAAAGATACATGGAATCAGGAACATAGATAGCACTCACCCCCAAAGTCCCAAGACAAGGACCAAGACACTTTTAAGAGTGGGATAGCTACCACAGCAGCCATTGTAAAGACAGCACCCACTAAACCTCCTCCTGTGACGCCCTGTCTCTCCGTGCCTCCCTATGCTAAACACAGCTTCGACTCCCCCGTGACATCTTTGCCAGCCTTCTCAGCCCTTGTCCCCGAGCAGTTGCCTCCTCTCTTTATCACACCAGGAGAGCCACTCATGCAGAACTGCAAATGTTGTCCTTGGTGATAAAATTATCCTCCGCGGCTGGGAAATCCACCCCACGCAGCGGGCAGCCCTCGACTGACAGTGCGGCCCCCAGAAAACACCCAGCATCCTGGCTCAGAACCGTGATTAGCACGAGTGTGTATTTTGCTTCTGTCTCTGCACACAGACATTTTAACTCTGGTGAGCGGTAAGAATGCTCAGCTTTATATTCTTCACTACACGGCAATGTCATCTAGGGAGAAGCTTGTGGGAAGGATGGCTTGAGAGTTCCCCTGCTGAGAACATCCTTTCTTTTTTTGTACCAAACTCCCTGCTTATTGTGAGGAAATGCACAATGGTAGAGACGGGTAAAGAAGGCAGGGAGGGAAAAAAATCAGCCACAATTTTACTATAAAGAGGCAATTATGGTGACATATTGACACTTGGTGCTTCTAGAATTTTTCTAAGCCATTATATGGCAGAGTTGGAGTCATCTTGAATGTGTTATATTGAGTCCCGCTTTTACTTTGTACTCGGTAAACTCGCAGCATCCCTCCAAGGCCAATTACTAATCAGCCTCTTAAGAATCAGACTTGGGAGACTTATGCCCCTCCCTCTTGGAGTTAGTCCTCCACACTGACTTGGAAATCCCAACAGGCTTTCTCAGACCCAGGAGGATGGGGGTGGTTGGCATTCTCGTGCGACACTGTAACACTTCTCTCTTGTCACACGTCTCCCTGCCTTTTAAAGGAAAATAGGCCAAGGGACTTCTTTATGTTGCAGTAAGATATGAGAAATCGGAGATTCCCATCCAGGACCGAATGTGAATAGTGCTCCCCGTAGAGGCGTTGTTACCAATGCTCTGAGATGCTCAGCTACCAGGACATTGTGTGAACTGAAGAGAAATGGCTCAGTGCTGTCCAAGGGTCCTATAGTCATATGGAAAACTAGAGACCAGGGCAGGAATACCCACTCAGGGCAGAGACTGAGGGCATACACCCCGTGTCCCAGATATTGCCCGTACCAGAAACGTCAGACCTGAGCAACTTGGTGTGGAACTCAGTTATGGCCCCATGTTAAAGATCAGGCAACTGAGACTAAGAGGTTTAACTGACTTGACCAAAACCTTAAATCTACGAAGTGGCTATGTTAGCATTTCAACCCAGGCCTAAGGTATTTTACATTCCTAGGTTCCCTCTCAAGGGCACCCACTTCCCTAAGAAGCTAGTTAGTCTCATATTGCAAGCTCCTCTCTCTCTCTCTCTCTCTCTCTCTCTCTCTCTCTCTCTCTCTCTCTCTCTCACACACACACACACACACACACAAACACACCCTGACCCCACCTGGAGGCATGGCTAGTGTCATGGATGATGGGGTGGATGGCAGGTAAATTGGGATTAAAGACTTAGGCATCTAGTCCTCCACCTGCTCAGCATGTTTACTTGAGTTTCCAGGGACTCTCTCTGGGCATTGCCTCAGTTTCCACTAACTGAAGAGAGCTGCTTCATCCATCAAAGGCCAAGGCCCCTCCCAAAGCCAGCCAGCACTAAATTACCAATCCCTGTAGGAGACTCAACAAACCTGCTTTTGGCCTTTGAGTAGGCATGCTCCTAGGAGCTGCATGAATTGCCCGTGCCGAAGGCTTGGCTCCAAGAACTGGTGACTTCTGCTCTCATCTATCCATGCCACCCTATATTCCTGCCTGCAGTCTCTCGCAGGCACCGATGCTGCCCAGCAGTGCTTCCCCATAAACCTGTGCGTGAACTCCCTCACAGTTTGGCTAACTGGCCTTGATTAAGACCATTGCATCACCAAACACCAACCATCATTGGATGGATGGAAGGGCTGTAGACATGCGTAGCTTCCCTTGGGGACTCCTCCAACCAGCATCTTCCTTTAGGGGCTCAGTGTTGGAGAAGAACATTTTGTCTATGAAAGAGGAGAAGTGGAGGGCTTAGGAGCCCTGAAAAAGAACAACAGGGTTCAGTGGTATGGTTAACAGGGTGGACAGCCAGGCCGTGTGGTTCCAACGCTGAATTCTCAGAGAAATCTCTGCCAGTTCAGAACCAGAGAGAAAGAACCTGGAAGGTTAAAGAAAGGAAAAAGCCTGCGGTTCTTAGCCCTCACTGCATATCCCTTGTGGAGAGGAGTGCCCTCCTTCTGCTGCTGTGATCCTGTTGACTGCTCCAGGGCACAGCTCAGGCATAAACATCTTTCAAAATTCCCTCAGAGATCTAAGGCCCAGCCCCGACTAAAAAATTTGTCTCTGGAGAACAACAGGCAATGAAAACCAACAATCCACTGATATCTCCACAGATTTGCTCTGACCTCTGGGTGATCAGATGTTGAACTTACCAGCAAGATCACTTTCTGGGCAGTACTCACTGGGGCAGTCCTGTCTCATAGTCTACTGAAGGCCAGATGACCCTCCAGGGCAGTGATTCTAAACCTTCCTAGTGCTGCGAACCCTTTAATACAGTTCCTCATGTCATGGTGACCCCCCAACCATAAAATTATTTTCATTGCTACTTCATAACCATAATTTTGCTAATATTATGAATTGTAATATAAATATCTGTGTTTTCTGATGGTCTTAGGTGACCCCAGTGGAAGGATCATTTGACCCCCAAAGGGTCACCACTGCTCTAGAGGAACCTGTGTCCTTCTCAAAGGGTGTACATATGCATGTGGTAATCTAAGTAGCTAACTACTCAGAAGTGAGGGGAGCACAGGGATTCTTAAGGCAGGAGCTTCTGAGATGCTAATTAAACCTGTGGATTCTCTGACCCCAACCCCAACATAAAATCTGTAGGGTGAGGTTTGAGAGATCTACATTCCTTATCAAACTCCACAAGGGATCCTCAGGATTTTGAGACCTGTGGCTCGGAGTCCACTGCCAGGCACCCTTCCCCCTGTGTGTTGTTTACCAACATGCAAACATTTGCCTCCTGTGTCAATAATAATAATAATAATAATAATAATAATAATAATAACTTCCTGCTACTGCATTGCCTAGAGCACACTGCATTTTCCAAAGCACACTCAAGAGCCAGGAGCTGCTCCTTCCTAAGCAGATGTATGAACCCGTCAGTGAACACCTAAGGCTGAGAATATTCTTCAGCAAATTCCTTTTAGCTCATTTCTTTCCTGCTAGCCGGTGTGGTAAACATATCTCATGAATTGTTCCAAATATTTTTCTGTCACTGTGCCATGGAATTGACAGTTTTGTATAATAAAGGCTGACATAATGAGCTGAGAAGGAGAATGAATGAAGCCTGATTGCTCTGTTCGGAGGCAGCGTCTGCAGCCGAGCACTCTGTCCTTTCCTTCAGGCTCGGCCCATTGTCTGATGATTGTCTTCTTGGGATTGAAGATGGCGCTAATAAGGACAAAAACAGATATTAAGAGACTTGTGTACACTTACCCAATTGTGTCCCCTTATCAAGGTGATACAAATATTCATCCGACCCCTGTGTGAAAACAGCAAGCCTATGCAAGCGTAGCTAAGGCTCTCTCGAGGGCCATGTCTGGGTCTCCCTCACACCTAGCTACATGTGTTCCCTCAAACCTCTTTATTTACCTAGTGAGGACATGAGCACTCATATTAATGAAGGATTTTCAATATCTTTCCCAGCAAATGTCAGCAGGAAGCAGACCCAGAAAGAGTGCCAAGTGGACCCTGCACTAACCCTCAGGCGTCAGCGCTCCCCCTCTTCTTCCTATGAAATCCGTTTAACTTTTGGAGATTCGGTTATCTATTAGTAGGCCTTCTGCCATCCTTGACCTAGATAGAGACTGAGACAGCTTCATTCCAACAGCCCTCTCTTCTGTCCCCCACCCCCAAATCAGCATAGGTATTCCTTTTGCTACTCTCCTTGTGTAACACCTTCGGAACACAGAGACAGGCCCAAGAGTCTAAAAGAAGTTACACCAGTCCACCTGACTGCTGTTTCCTTAAAGGAACCCCTGATGAGTAATGCTAATTATCATTTCAACACAACCTAGGATCGCCTGGGCAGGGCATCTCAATGAGGGATTGTCTAGATTAGGTTGGTTTGGGGAACATGTATATGGAGGTTATCACGACTGTGTTCATACCTGACCTTTATGGGTGGCACCATTACTTAGGCCAAGGATTCTGTATAGAGCAGAAAATGTGAGCTTAGCACAGGCACACTGATGGCTCTCTGTTCCTGGTTCTGAGTGTGACGTGACCAGCTCTTCTCTAACACGATGGATTGAACCGAGGAGCTAAGAGCTAACTCAACTCCCTTCTATTGTTTCTGTTGGAATGTTTTATCAGAGCAACGGGACCAGAAACTAAGACAAGTCCTGAAGGGCTTTCCCATGGGGAGTGGGGAATCTCTCTCCAGAGGACAAGCTAAATCAATGCAGCTGTCACACCATAGCTCAATGTGTTCCATAAATTTCAAGTGGGAGGAGCCGATTCTCGGTGTAGCAGTGTGGAGGTGGCAATCTAATAAGTGGAATAGTGGGATCACGGCAGCTGTTGTAAGAGCAGATTAGTTGCAAAAATGACTTCGCTTTACAGAAGCTTCTCAGTCTCAGGAGGTCCCATTTATTCAATGAGGCCCTTAGTGTCTGTGCTGCTGGGGTTATACGTAGGAAGTGGTCTCCTGTGCCCACGTGTTGTAGAGTACTTCCCACTTTCTCTTCTATCAGGTTCAGTGTGTTCGGACTGATATTGAGGTCTTTAATCCATTTGGACTTGAGTTTTGTGCATGGTGATAGATATGGATCTATTTTCATTCTTGAGAGAGAGCACAAGCAAGGAACTCAGGACCGCGAAGGGTGCACTCACACACTGAGACAATGGGGATGTTCTATTGGGAACTCACCAAGGCCAGCTGGCCCGGGTCTGAAAAAGCATGGGATAAAACCGGACTCGCTGAACATAGCGGACAATGAGGACTACTGAGAACTCAAGAACAATGGCAATAGGTTTTTGATCCTACTGCACGTACTGGCTTTGTGGGAGCCTAGGCAGTTTGGATGCTCACCTTACTAGACCTGGACGGAGGTGGGTGGTCCTTGGACTTCCCACAGTTCAGGGAACCCTGATTGCTCTTTGGGCTGACGAGGGAGGGGGACTTGATTGGGGGAAGGGGAGGGAAATGGGAGGCGGTGGCGGGGAGGAGGCAGAATTCTTTAATAAATAAATTTAAAAAAATGACTTTGCCTCTCTCACTCTCTCATTATTTCTGGGCTGTCCTGCCCTTCTGCTTCCTACCATGGGATGATACAGTGTGCGGACTCAGAATATTCTGTTGCCTTGATATTGCACTTACTGTGAGAGTGCGGGAACCACGAGCCAAACAAACTTCTATTGTTCATACGCCTCTCTCTATATAAATGCCGTTAGACCAGAAAAAAAGAAAAAAACAGACCAAACAGCTACCAGGACAAAATATGGAGCTAACCTCTTTAGACCATGTTTTTGTGGATTTGGCTGGCAACTACAGGAACACAATCTGATGGGTGCTAAAACATGGCAAGCTCCCAGTCACCCTGCCCTGGTGGAGATCCACGCCCTCCAGGTGCCCACTCCTGACTCCTTCAGCATAGACAGGCCCTAGGTGCCTCTGGGGCCCCTGCACCATGGCTGCTCTACCAAAAATAGAGATTCATCCCAGCTGATTCACTGATAGAGCTTCTGTGTCAGCAACTGGGCTCGTTTCTCTCTGACTGCATTCTTCTGTCTTTATATGTATAGCAACACATGGGAACACCGGAGACAAATATGTGGTCAGTCTCTCAATTTCTTCGGAAAATCTTAGAACATCCTGACTTATTCTCATAACATCTGATAATGTGCTCCCTCTTTCACTCAGGACCTTCCCGCTCTGGCCATTGTCATAGCCTACCTACCTGTCCTGGGCCACCACTTGTACCCTTCCAAGGCGTGATCTTGGTTTACACACTAGGGGTCATAGCTTCTGTACTAACTTGGTTCTCCCAACTTCCACCCTCCCGATACTAAATCTTTACTAAAGAGTAGCCATCATGCGTAGGATGAACTAGACTCCACTTTCCCCACCTTTGGCTTTGGTAGTCCCATCGTACCTGATGAGGACCCAGGCTAAGAGTTGACAAGCTTGCCCCGCCTCTCACAGATATGTCAACACCAGGAGAGATGGACTTGAAAACTTGGATACTTATAACTTCCTATTAAATATAATATCAGATCTACCTTCTACGTCTCTCAGTCTAAGAACACGGCAACACCTCTACTCCATGGAGAATATGAGGATCCCCGGGACCCATCATTCTGGAGGTCAGCAAGTCTCTCCCTCTGCCCTTGGGGAGTACTTCCGGGGCGTCCATGTCACTTCCAGACTCTACTCTGAGAAGTGCAACTTGCACTACGTTTGCCTGGGTGAAATAATTGTTACAGCCCAAGATAAATGGATGGTCTACCTCACCAACTCTCGAATGAGCCCCCTTGATTTAGGGACTGTACTTCATGCTGCGCAGATTTACTGTGTGCCTACTGTAGGCCATGGATCTGCTAGGAGTTTGAGATACGGAAGATATATTATCCATGCCTTGTAAGTAGCTCATAGACTCATTGCAAAATGAGCAAGTGCCTAATAGCCTACGTGAGAGAGAAAGTGATGGCGTGGTACAGAGAGGTGAGAGGAGACCGGGGAAAATTCCAGAGAGCATAGGTTTCCGCAGGCTTTGAAGTAAGAGTGGGCGAGTTCAAATCATGATTGACTATTTACAGCTGGGATCTTGAGGAAGTAATTTTACCTTTAAAACTGGTGCGTGTGTGTGTGTGTGTGTGTGTGCGTGCGTGCGTGCACGTGTGTGTGTGTGTGTGCGTGTGTGTGTAAAATGAGGGCAACAGTACCTCTCTCTAGAGTCAGGAGGATTAAATAAAATGATGTATGCCATAGGAAATATATTTAACCAAGACTCCGACACAGAATGCCATAAAGAAATAATATCAATAGTGGAGATTGCTAAGATGTACTGAAGATTTGCTCCTGTTCGACGGTAAGAAGAGACAGAATGCTTGAACAATGCTTTGGGAGGTGGTTTAGGCTAGACTGGGCAGGGGAGGTGTGGTGACAAATTTTCTACAGAGGAGCAACATAATAAAAGCCATGTGGTATGGAAACACAAGACTCTCCCGGGGACAGTCAAGGCAGCTCATAGCCGGAGCACGGAGGAGATGAGACTGAGGAAGTGGTACTGGCTGTGTGAGCGCTTGAAGCTTCCCTCACATCTTTAGTTCACGTCTCCACTGTCCAGTGCCTTCTCTCCCCTTCCTGGGGAAACCCGTACAAGTCCAGTTTACAATGACACACATACAACATGAACATATACACATGAACACACTCCCAAATGGGGGTGGAGAAATGCTTCAGTGGGTAAAGCAGGTACCCTACAAACATGAGGACAGGAGTTAAGACTCTCCAGTTAAGATTACCTACATGAATGTAAATAGCAGATGAGTATCTACAGGGATTCCTGGAGCAAGCTAGTGGGTTATAATAGCCATATTGGCAAAGTCTGGGTTCAACTTAGAGGCCCTGCCTCAATGGACAAGGTGGAGATTATTGATGAAGAGCCCTGCTATCAACTTCAGGATGACACTCACAAACGTGAACACACACGTGCACACATGTACACACATGCACACATGTATGTGGACCTGAACACACTAACCACACACATACAACATAAACATATACATGTGCATACATCACCCATACAGAGCTATATCAGAAAAACCCTAAGGACAAAAGAATGTCCCTTGTGCAGTGCTAGGAGGGTATAGTCTTTCAGAAGACTATAGAAACCAAAATCTTGGGACAGTGAGATGGCTCAGTGGGTTAAAGGACTTGCTGCCTTGGACTATTGTGGTGAAAAGGGAGAAAAAACCTCCTAAAGGGTTACTCTGACCTCCACACATGCATGATACTATACATGCACACGCACACACACATTAATTTTACAAAGAAATCAAAATCATTCATTGTATTCATAACTCTTAAGCCAGAGCCTTCACTCTGAGGAGCGAAATAAGAAATCCATCAACACCATTTAGGAAGAGTTACACCATCGGGATTTGTAGTGGATAAAATTCAGAAATGATTTAAATGTTCAGAAACGCAAGATGAGTTAGTGTCACCAAACGTGAGGCAGGAAGCTTGAAGCGTGGAAAAATCAATGCCCAAAGATGAGTTTTGGGGAGAGAGGAGATAGGTTTTATGGAGGATGCTATCAGGGAGGCAGGTATTTTAATCCCGTAAGTGTCACCTTGCCCATCAGTAGGGGCATTTATTTATATGAGCACCGACGAAGGGTCACGTGCAGAAATCAGCATTTTCCAGGAATAGAGTCAATGTGGCAAGAACCAGAATTGAGGGCAGGACATTCCTGTTTTTTAATTAATGTTTTAAAATTAAGTGTGATCAGAGTATAATAAAATATAATTATATAACATAATTATAATACAGTGTAATTTATAATGTAATTGTAATAAATTAAAATATATCGTCTTCTCCCTTCCCTGTGCCTCCTTTTTATGTGACTCTCTCTTGTTTTCTCAAATTCACATTCTCATATATGTATATATATATATGCACATATATATGTATATATTATGTATACATACACACTCTCCCTTGCACTTTCTCTCAAATTAACATTCTATTTTTGTGGTATTTTGCTGAACACTGCATGACTATATATCACTGTGAATGATTTAATAAAGAAGCCGACAGGCCAATAGCTGAACAAAATGAGGTTTAGGTGGAAGAGCCAAACTGAGAATGCTGGGAAAGAGAAGGGCAGAGTCTGGAGTTGCCAGCAAAAGCAGAGAGAAGCAAGATGGCATGTCATATTGAGAAAAGGTGCCAAGCCACGTGGCTAAGCACAGATAAGAAATATGGGTTAATTTAAATGTAAGAGTTAGATAGTAATAAGCCTGCACTATTAGCCGAGCATTTGTGATTAATAGTAAACCTCTGTGTGGTTACTTGGGAGCAGCTTGCAGGACAGAAACTTCCACCTACATCTTTTAGTTACTAACTTTTAAAACCATCTGAAAGTAGATGGAGCTTGACTGTTTATCTATATTGTTCTTTCTATCACAAAACAATATTCAAACATTGAAGTACTACGTGGTCGTTAGGAGTCGTTATGGTGGTCCCCAGCTATAGGATATATTGTCATCTCCCCTTGCTTGTGGGGAAAGATGATATTTATATATAAAGCAAAGGAGGAGATGTAGGTGGAAGTTTCTGTCCTGAAAGCCACCCCCAAGTAACCACACAGAGGCTTAATATTAATTACAAATGCTCGGCTAAAAGATTAGACAGTAGTATAGAAGTATGTTTGCAATTGGGTTTTATGTGACAAGGGTGAGACATAGAACCTTATTATAATCTGAAGTTGGTTTAAAATATGAAGGGACGGATGTATTGAGAGACGCATAAAAAGAGTCATAATACTGAGAGCAAGTTTCAATTGGAAGCTTTAGGGTCTTAATAGGGTCCCCCATCCCACCCCTCAGAAGCGTATCCGTGCAGGAGTGTTTGTGGGGAAGAAGGTTCCAGAAGCCATTTGAAAGAGGAAGAACTAGCATTAGAGACTATAAGTGGGTCACAGACCTTCACCCTGGGCAAGGTGGGCCTTCTCTAGCACCCCAGAGGTCAGAGAACATGTTCTGTGGATACCTAGAAGATCCCCGGGGAACTCACCAGAAACATGGAGGAGGTCTTTCCAGAGAGAAGGCTCTGAGGCAAGCAATCCACTGTGAATCCTGAGTTGGCATGTCCCAAGTGTAGCTACAGACTGGAATGCTGAGAAATCCTGAAGTCTCTGTGGATTGTGAGTAGAAGACACAAGGGAAGTAAGAGCTGCCACACTATCTGAAAACCCGCTCTGGACCCTTCTACACCTGACGCTTCCACTCTCCACACATTGGTACCCGCTCTCACTCCTGCTCCACTGGGCATGCAAACGGGACTCGGGTGGCAGGGTCATGCCCTGCAGGGCACAGTAAGAAATCACAGTGGAACAGACCCGGGCGTGGGTTGGGTCTGCTGTCAGTCTAGCGGGCTGATCTCGGTCTCTTCACACATTTCTACACTAACAATAATCAGCTCACTGGTTTTGACTTGGTTGTTTCCTCCCATGTGAAATTTGTTAGATGATCCTGTTAGCTATGTGGCAAGTGCTCTGTAGAGCTGTTTACCCTGTCGAATGGTGCCCTTTGTCATGGTTTTACATAGACATTTTTAATTCTCTAAATCAACATTGTTGTTTTCTTATAAAGGAAAACAAAATAGGGTTTATCAGAACCAACCAGAAGAAGGGCATTTTACCTTGGGGCTTGGGGTGCCCTGAAGAAACAGTTTGCCCAGCAGACTTCTGGGTATTCATAGTACTCTATCTCTCTTTCCTTTTCCTTTTGTTCCTTGTTTCTCCTTTCTTTCTTTCTCTTTCTTCCTTCCTTCCTTCCTTCCTTCCTTCCTTCCTTCCTTCCTTCTTTCTTTCCATTTTTTTAAAACAGGGTCTCTCTATTATATAGCTTGGCTGTCCTGTGATGTAGACCAGGCCGGTCTTGAACTCACCGAGATCCACCCACCTCTGCATGTGCACATACTAGGATTAAAGGAGTCCATCACCATGCCAAGCCCCCATATTACTGTTTCTTAACCTGGGAGCTGGTATCCTGGGTTTCATATCGAGAAAAGTCACCAAATGGGCACAGGATTTTTGCTTTCTTACCTCCCTGCTTTGTCGGCACAAATTTCACGATGCCCATCCCTCCATAAGCTCTCCTGCATCCTCAACACAGGAGAGAGAGGCCTCCCATGACTCCTAGCTCAAGGGGTCTTCCCGGTTTGGGAACCTCACTGAAGGTGTTAGTGTCTACACAACATGTATATCAAGTCACACTATGCGGCTGCCCCGCGACTGTCAGTTACGTATGTCTCTCTCATTAAAGCAGTCAGTAGTACCAAAGTCCACAGCTGTGTCTTAAGTCTGAGCCTGACAAAGAGGGCCAGAATGATGAAGAGGCAGAAAGGGAAATCCCAGCACAGGGCTCAAGGAAAAAGATAAGAAGAAGCCAGGAGAGGAAGCTAGGAAAGGCTTTGCCTCATAAACTCAAGAGTAGACATGTTGAGACCTGGCTGGAGGCACCTGGGTAAGCTAAGAAGCTTTCGGGAAAGCAGTCTTTCCTTGGGAAGGAAGGCTAACCCAAGGTTCGTAGCCTGGGCAAAGTACAGAGTATAGCTCCTACTCCCAGTCTGTGTCTGGTTTTCTTCTGGTTCCAAACACTAGAAGAAAATAAACCTGCCCTCTATGGCTTCTACAGGACATGGAGCAAGAGATGTCACAAGCACAAGCATGGGAGCAGCCATGGCAGAGACAGCCAAGCCACTGTAGGGAGAAGGTAGGAGTTGTCACAGGCTCTGGAAAGCACAGCTTCTTCCTCCAGGACCAGCACTGGGGAAGTAACTCCAGAAGTGCAGGCTCGGGCCACCACAGGATCTGTGCGGCCGTTACACACAAACTGTGACGGGGTGGAAGGTGCTTTAGGAGGCCTCAGTGACACGGTGCCACCACACATGGGAAATGGGTGGCTATTGTGCCTCCCATTTGGGGGACGATGGACTCCATTTCGCACAGCGAGAAGTCTGCCACATTCTTCTGGAGCAGGAAGTCCTGTAAAGATTTTATAGTGAAGTGGCATGAACTTTATAGTTTCAAGGTAGAATTCTCTAGAAACACAGATCCCTGGTAGCTGGCTGCTAGGGAGCATACAGAAAAGGAAAAAGGAGAAGACTAAGAAACCAGCAAGCAGCCCTTCCCTCGCGGTCACTGTCTATTCCTACAGCCCAAACCGTCAGCAAAAGGGACTTTCCTCCTGATATCAAACACTCTGTCGGGAGATAGTTCCCTTTGAACTCAGTCCTCCGGGAACTACAGTAAGGACAAGGACTCTTGCTTTTAGAAGGAAAAATATTTCATGAGATGAGAGAAGACACAACCATCATCAGTAAACCAGCAAAAAACGCTCAATTATTTTCCTAGAGGCATGATCTTAATATAGGATCGTGTGGGTGGGGCTTTCTAAAATGTTTTCTCACTATTTTTTTCTGCTGTGATGGCTTTCAAATGTTTTTGACCACATATCTAATTAGTAAAATCATTTGGGGAATGTACCACAGACATGCATGCTTATGCACATTTATTCATAGTTATAGAAAGTGTTCTGTTTGTTGTATTTGTAGTGAAAGTTCTAAGTTTGTCCCAATAAACAAGCAAGACTCATTTCGCAGATAGGTAAGCGAAGACTTAAAAAGGAAGGGTCTTCCCCAGGTCTGGTAGAACTTGTAGGGATGGATTAAAACCCACTTTAAGTCAAGCCAGTGACCTCCCCTTCCAAATCACCCACTCCCTACCCTGTCCCCATGGGTGATCTAAGCCGCATCTCCCAAGTGGTCAGATTCTTCCTTCCGTGTCCTAAATCTCCTTCTTCTCACCCCTCTCAGTTTGGGAACAGACTGTTCATGTTAGCTTCTAGTGGTTTCCCCATTTGTCCTGCTCTGCCCGTTTTTCCAGGCTGAACCACAGTATCAGGGTTCGGCCACCCGGAGGCATGGGCGTCACGGGCCCCATCCATTTCCCACACTCCATTAGGCAGAGATGATGCCGAGTCCATTTGCGGGTCTCGCCAGGCCCAGGGGTTAATGTATTCTGAAATTTATTTGTGAAAAGAAAATGTGCTCTTCAGCCGAAGGAACATACGATGTGTCTCGCTCCGAGGGACCACACCTGGCAGGGAAGACAAGGTACTTGGGCTTCCTGGATGAGGATGAGGCCTGATGCTTTCCTAACTTGGTAAAAATCACCCAGGCCCAGAAACCATGTAAAGATGAAGCCACAGAAACACCTGAGAACAAGGAAAATCCAAATAAGGCAGATGAGAAATTAGGAGCTAGTGTGTTAGAAGTGAGGTAGAGTCCGGTAGGGATGGAGGGGATCAGGAGATCTCACCGTTGAAAGCATAGTCACCTCTCTGTGTACGTCCGTCTCTGTCTCTCCCAGGCTAAGGCTGGAATTACTGTTTAACTAAGGTGGGGCTGCGGTGCCTGCTGTACCCATATAAGGAAGCACCCGAGGGGAAGAAGTAAGCCTAACCTGCCGGCACTGCCGGTTCGCTTGTATTTCCTCCAAAGCAACAACGCTCTCCTCCATCGTCCCCTCTGCCACTCTCCAACCCTCAAGACTGCTGCTACCCAGCCTGTGCGACTGACCCATCCCTGTGGGCTTTTTGCGGGAATACTGCCCACAGTACCACTCTACTGAATGCCCACGCAGAGGACACAGGTGAGGTGCAAGCAGCGGCCTCTCTGACTACACCTAGATAACCCTCCTGCAATCAGTGAGCCTGTGTGTTTCCCCGGAAACCTTCCTACTGATGCCAGTTCTGGGTCCTGTACAGGGCTGTGATGCGGGATGCAGGGGCTCTGAAAAACATGCCTTTCCCATGCACCTGGTCCAAGGACATAGATGCTTTCAGAGGGAAGAGGTGAAGAGAGGGGAAATTGTGATCAGAATATATTGTATTTAAAAATACCTATTTGTAATTTTAAAAAACTTATCAGAGACTAACACAAATTGAGTTTTGTAGAAAAGCTTATCACAATTTTGTCCCAGTTCACAAAAAGTGAGGGTCTCGGTCATTTAGTCACCTTTGCTTTCTATTCATTCAAGGCCACAACCTTGATGTCACTGTTGACCATAGAAACACTTTGATGACAGGAATCATGATTTCCTTTTTCTCTATCTTTGTGTGTGTGTGTGCGCGCGTGCATGTATATATGCATATATGTGCTTAGGTGTGTGAAGTTAAAAGGTTAACTTTGGTGTCATTTCGCCTACGTTGTCCGCCTTATTTATTTACTTATTTATTATGTATATAAACGTGTGTGTGTGCGTGCGTGCACCCACATACAGAAGCCAGAGACGAACCTTGGGTGCTGCTCCAGAAGTTGCCTACTTTGTTTTGTGAATCAGGGTCACTGAGACCCAAGGCCCAGTACTCCTGCTAGAATGACTGGCCAGTGAGCTCTGGGGACCTGCCCATCTCTAATCTCTGCTGGGTTAAGTGTGTGCCGCTATGCCCAACTTTCTACATAGGTACTGAGAATAAAAGTTGGGTCCTTTAGCTTGTATGGCAAGCACTTTACCAACTGAGCCACATACCTAGCCCAGTAATCGTGACTTCTGTGTCTACTGACCCATTGCTCTGTTAGAGCAGGTATTTAATATATTTTCACAAAAGGCAGCATGGAGCCCGGACACTGTTTTCTGACAATCTGGTGTAATAGCTACAAGAATGAAGTTGAAAAAAAAAATCTGAGCTCAACACAAAAGATGGGTCACTGCCACTGCAGAGGTTCAGTGGCTTCCATGACCTCCTACAATGGTGTAGGCACATGAGAGCCTCTGTGGTTGCTAAGTTATCCTGTCTGTGAGAGGTGATGCTGTGGTCAGGCTGACATTTCCAGTTAGGTAGGTCAACCCAACGCTTCCCAGATTCGAACAAAGGCTTATTTCCCTTTGGGCTTACAGTGGGGTCACAAATGACAGGTAAGACCTCTGTCTACCCCCAGAGGCACTGAGTGGATCTTCAGTCCGAATACTTTCTTGAACTTCCCTACCGTGTACTGGGCTCGACTCCACTGTTTTCTACAGGGAGGGAGGCCTGGCAACGATACGAGAGCTTGTTTATTACTCTGCCAAGCGATGGGATGCAGTAATGAGCTGCTTATGTAACGGGCAGATGTGATAGTAGCATAAGTTCACTATCCCCAATTTACAGATGGAGAAGGTGACTGTTAAGCTCTGCTAAATGCAACGACAGAGCTAGAGGTCTGTCAGGTCTTGTTTGGCTCCCTGAATCCTTGGCTGTGTTTAGGGACCCTCTTAGGCAAACACCTTAGAAGAGAAGGTGCAGAGAGGCAATGCACAGTGGAATGACCACCTCACTGGCAATGAGGGAAAACTTTGCATCCTTAACTATCTCATCTTTTGGAAGCGTCCCAGTTTCCTCCTTGCTAAGATGGGGTAGCCACAGTACGTTTTTCCTAAGACTGCAAAGTTCACTGAGGTGAGAAGTACAAGGGCTTAGCGGTATATGGAATGTGGTTATTGCTCAAGAAAGTTGTGTCCTTATTGGTGATGATACTTTATCCTGGGCTCCCTGTTAGATGGCTACCAGCAAAGATAAAGTGCTTCTGTACTAACGTATTAGGAGCTTCCAGGGAAGCAAGAGTGAAGGAAATGGGAAGTCATCAGAGAATGATGGGAAACAATAGAGTCACCCATCTGGCCTCTCTTTACTCAGAGATATGGCTTAGCTCCGAACTGGCTGTACATCTTGCCGCTGCATAGAGACAAGAGGAATAGTGATGCACATTCTGGCTCCCTCGCTTTCCGTGTTCGAATGATCTTACTCTCCTGTACTCTCGGCTGTGCTTTCTGGTTTATTGCCCCCACGCTGAGAAACCTCTATTTAGCCTTTGAGGGTTGGTACCTCATCCGAGTCCTGGAGCGGTTAGCAAAGGTGCTTCCTTGTCTGGGTAGAAAAGGACACGGAGAGACTGAGTATCTTAGTTTTTTGTTTTGTTGTTTTTTGCCGTTGTGAGAAAATACTCTGGCAAGAGCAACTACAGTGGCAAAGGATCTATTTCAGATCACAGTTCAAGGTTGCAGGCCATCGCCATAGAAGAAGCCACAACAGAAGAACTTGAGGCAGTGACTCATATTATATGTACAGCCTAAAGACGGCAGCAATGAATACATGCATGTTAATATATAGCTTGCTTTCTCGACTCTTGTGCAGTCTAGCTCCTCTGCCTGGGGAACAGTTTCACCCACAGCGGGTGGGTCTTCTTACTTCAATTAAGGTAGTCTGCTGGGTGGCTAAACCCTCTGCCAACATTGTAGTTTATGCCAACTATTCACAGTAGGCATAGAGGTGCAGGCCGGAGATGTGCCATCTCCATTGAGATAGTGACTGTGAGGCCAGCCTGGGCTACACGAGAGGTCTCCAAAACCAAACCAAACAAAAGAGTAAGTAGGAAAGAAAGAGGAAGGTGGGGGAGACTAGGAGCCCCAAAAGATAGGTGAGGCTAAAAGAACCTGAGACCAAATAAACATTTTAGCATTGACTAATTAATATTTTACTAATTAGCAATTTTCTTGGCCCACTGTAATTTTCTAGGGGTCACCTCTTTCACCCCTGAGAGAACCATGAGGGTTTCAGATGGGCTGGCCCAACTTGTGCCTCAAGTGTTTGTAAGAAGGCAGCTGGTGTGCATACCAAAGTTCCGAAACTTCACATGGTAGAACAGGCCGAAGATAGCTTGGGGTCATAAGAAGCCCAGAGTAGAGTGTGGTTTCTCTGCCATGCTCAGGACTCTGCCTCCCACCTTGAAACAGACTCTTGTGCAGCTCAGAGTCTTGTTACATACCTGACGGTGGCCTTGAATTTCTGATCCTCCTACACGCCCTGAGTACTGGGATTACAGGAAGCACCGCCACACTAAGTTCAACCTAGGACATTGCGCGTGGTGGGTAAGCACTCTGCCAGCTGAGCAAATGCTCAGCTCCATCTTCTTGAACAGTGTTGCCTAAAACACAGAATGTAGAGTAAAAAACAGCAAGTAAATAACAACAAACAAGAAAGAAAGAAAGAAAATGGGAGGAAAAAAAACAGAGAGATAGGGAGGAATGAAGGAAAGGAGGGAAAGAGAGAGGAAGGTAGGGAGGGAGGAAGGAAGAAAAAAGAAAGAAAAGGAGGCTAAGGCACCTAAAAGACAGATGAAGCTGAAAGAGCTGGAGACAAAACAGTATAGGACTTCTGAGAGCTGTAGTGGGGTTCCTTGGTATCTGCCTTCCCTTTACTCCCAGGGTCATGATTAAAATCTGCATATAAAGGCTATGAAAGGCCAGAAGAAAGGCATTGAACCCACCACCCCCTCCTCTATTGAATGCCCAATGGGAAACACTGCTTTGGGCCATGGCAGTTGTGAGCAGGCCTTGATCTCCTTCTGCCTTGATCCCTGGATTCTCAAGAGACTTTACTATGTTCTGTGTTTTTCTTTTCTGTAGATTTCTTTTTGCAGAAAATTTCTTTGATATAATGAGACGTCAAGGAGTATGTAGAAAGTTTATCAGCCTGCAAAATTGAATCTCCCAGTAAATAGCTGAGAAAATTCAGCGGGGTCTGGTTTCTCATCTTAATGCTGAAGACAGTTGCATGTGAGGTGTGTGAGAGCCTTCTAGCCTATTCTGATCATGGTATGTTCAAAAGCAGCTGTGAACCAATTCATCCAGCTCCTGCATTGCCTCAGAGACAATCTCATTGTCTTCTTTTGTTTAAACCTATATTTATTGCTTATATCCATCAATGTAGCCAACTTTTTAAAGAGCTGGAGTAGGGTACAAAGTCAGTTTGTCCCACTAGCTGCCCATCTGATGGATTCATACATGAGAAAAATACTGTATAATATCACAGATGTCCGGGATATCTGTTGGGCTGTTGGACACATGGATAATTTCAGGGCTGGCCCTGTTCTAGTAGCAGTGTCTCTCTCAGGCCTGTGCATGAACCCTATCTGCCCACTCAGTGTGGTTGCTTTCCCCACATGGGCACAGGGCCCCCATCTGTCAACCTCAGGTATTCTGAAAGTTGGTTCAAGCAAGAGGAGAATTCCTAAAAGCATCCCCACCTCTTCTCAGAGAAAGGCTTCCATGCCTGTCTGTATCTGTGGGACTTGGTCTGTCCATACCAGCCCTCCAGCTTTTTACCTGCAGCCTCTCAAGCGGTTCCTTTCTTTCTGTTATTGTCTTTCCTTTTTAGACACAGTTCTCTCATAAGCTATCTGGCCCCACTTGGAAATCTGAAGTCTGGGGAATGTGAGTGGATGAAGAAAGGCACAGGAGGACTTACAGGCTTAGCCACCCTTCTGCTCGTCTCTGCCCCCCTCGCTTATTAACACATTCACGCTCGTATGTATATACACAGACCTGTGTTCCAAGTCCTTTCTCTTTCGTACTGCTCTTTGACACATTTAATATAGAGGTTTTGTTTTCTGAAGACTTTAGTCCTCCTACTGGTCCACACCCTGTCCCTGACCACAGAAATGTGACCTTACCTACTTGGACACTTGGCTTTAGAACCTGAGGCCATCATCAGATGTCCCAGACTGCTTCTCAGGAAAAGGGAATGGCCCCCTTAATCTAAGTGTTCCTTGGCTGTTGATACTGCTTCCTCCTCCTCTTCATCCCCACCACTCCCAAACTATGCTGATAGAGTCAGAGTTGGGCAGGGCTTCCGGTCCAGGGCTCCGCCATACATTTGTGAGGCTAATATTGACCTCAGATGCCCAAGATAGCCAGGCCAAAAGTTAGTAGGTCAAGTCAATTGGAAGGGATCCATACTGGCTAACTCCGCTGACCTTTCTCCTCTACCATGTTGAAGCCAGAAGCAGAGATAGAGGAGTGGGGACGATCTTCAAGAGCTCCATCTAGAGATGGGTCACAGCAATTGCATGTTTTCTGGCTGTACTTGACTGCTCATTGTGGAGAGGCGGGAATTCTTGCATTGCCCAGCTCCAGCACCATGAGTTACAGATTCTGTCCCTCCCTGTATCTTGTCACTGCATGCCGTAGATCTCCTTTCCATAGTCCCTTTCCCATGGAGTGGCTATCGCTGGCTTCCTCGCTGTCCTGGTCTCCATGCCGTTCTTTTTCTCTGTGTGTTCTCCCTGCCTTTGTCTGCTTCTCTCATCTATTTTTCTTTGTTTCATGTCAATGAGAGACTAAGAAGAAAGGCTGAAAGGTGATCCTTTAAGAATAAAAGGGTCATCCAAATGTGACTTTAATCTCTATAATTTTTGGAAAAGGACAGGAGGAAAGACTCTGAACCTGGTGGTGTCTGATTTAGCCTTCGGGAAGTGAACAGAAGTACGGAGGGTCCTTCTGAGCAAACTTGGTTCTAACACAGAAGCTCACTCGTCATGACCCAGTATTCTAGCTTGGCACATGCTCAACACCAACTTCTTAAGTCTTCCTGATGTGCTTAAGAGAAAATCAGAATTAGCTAAGGTTGAGTGTGAAGCACAAGCTTTCTTCATGGGTGAAAACAAAATCTATGCCCAGATATCTAGGAACATGACAGATACTGTACAGTGTCTCTGGGATACATCTAGCTGTAGAATCCAGAAAGAATATTCTACCTGGTTGGTTGAACACACCTAATAGTCTATCAAAGAGCTTTTTAGGTACATTTTACAATACAGTGATATTCACCAGAGACCTTTGGAGAGAGGAGAGATATCAAGATAAATGGTCTTTCTTGGTGGGACACAAACTTAAACACAGTAAAAAGGATCTCAGCCTTACTGCCTAGTAATATTTGGGGTACACAAGAGCCTATACATTTTCTTAGTGCCAGAAACATGGATCATATATTTAAAAGAGGGGAAAAAAGAAACTTGGACAAGAAAGTCCAATTTTCTTAGTCTTCCAGAGGGAGGAACTGAGGCTAGAGGAGTCAGTGCTATAGCTGAGATCAGAGAAGCTACACAGATCCTCTCTGATCTGCGATTTCCTTAGATGTTCCCGTCGGTTAAGACCTATGAGCTCCCTGAAGCTGGGAGGCCTGGAGGCAGGGAGGCTCCATTCATGTGCTGGGGGCCGTGGGGAAGAGGATGGTGTGGTTACCAGGTCCGCTGACCCACAGAAGCATCTTCCGCACTCTGTGCTCTCATGCCAAGCTGTCCATCTCCTTGGCACCTGGCATCGAGGCTCAGCCCAGTCACTGGCAGGCAATGGATAGTTCTGTTCTGCGCACTCACTCCTCTGGCACCGGCTACAGAGCTGAGAGGCTTCGCTGCTTCTAAATCTGAGCATGGAGAGAGGCTTCTTTCACGTCTCCCCCTCCCATGGCCAGTTGGTGGGTTAGAGATTACGTCGGAGGATGGCAGACACTCGCTACTCCCATCCCTTTCAGCCCTGATTAAGCAGAAGGGGGAATGGACTGGTACCATGTGTTACTTCAGGCCAGATCACCAGCCTGAAGCCAGGCATAGTCCAGAAGCCCACAAGTGTTGCCCAGTTTCCTCCTCTGCAAAGGGAACACACTACAATCTTTGTGATGATACATCTTGTCTGTTAGCGTGACTGGACCTTCAATAAACTAAGAGATAAGATCCTGGGCAGACCTTTATGACATTAATTGATAAGGGAAGGCCCATTTAACTGTGGGTGGCACCATTCCCCAACAGAGGAGTCGTACACTGTAGAAGTGGGAAGAGCAAACCGAGTACATGCATGTGTCCTCCAATCCATTCTCCTGCTATCTTGGCTTCCGTGTTGTGACAGACTGTAACTTGAGCTATGAGCTGAAACAGCCCCCTTCTCTCCTGAGCTGCTTTTGTCAAATTATTTACATAGCAGCAGGAAAAGAGACTAAGAGAGTCTTCCTTTGAGATCTGCCTTTCTGGGAAACATAAACCTACCAACACACACACACACACACCTTTAGACCGTAAAGGGCTGGGGAACTCCGTGAGGTGTCTGAAGCATGACGATAACTCAGGATCAACACTGACCTAGGAGTTCAGTTCCATCTCTGAGACAGCCAGCAGTGTAAAGTCTCACACTGGCTCCGTCTCCCTCAAGCGCTCTTTAAAAACAACAGCTCAGTGCCTTCCACTATGGTAGATAAGCCTGCGTTCAAGGGCCTCTTTCTCTGTTCCTGTCTTGCTTCCCTTTGCTTCTCTCTCCACTTGCCTTTGCTTCCCATTCCTCTTTCCCTGCCTTCCTCCCCTCCTTACTGTCCCCCATCTTTCTCTGTCCCCAGTTCTCCCTCTCTCTAGCTCTGTCTGACTGGCCCCTCTCTCTTCTTCCCTCCATCCCTCCCTCTTTCTCTCTCTCTAAAGCTCTGAGGTGTGTCAAGGTGGAATATAGCTAAAAGTGGTTTGCACCGGGTGTTTTTTCGCCAGAGAGCAGTTAAGTGCCTTATTTTCTCCACTCCGGTAACTAAATTATTCTCCACGTGTTAAACAGTGTGATTAAACACATACACATGAGAGTGAGCAGGCCCCTTCCCCCACCCTTCCTTGTTCCTTGTCAGCAGAGAGAGTGTCAGCCCCAGCCTTCAAGCTCTGTTAGTTTTAATTTGAGTTGTGGAATTAGTAATGGGTTTTGCTGTAACACTGTTGTGGGAAATAGATCGCTCCTTGCGCGGGGTTTGGGCACCATTTCAAATGATTATTTGTTAAGGGGAAAGCCGTCCCTTGTCGCGTTCTGCTACATTACATCAGATTTATTTCCATTGTTCTGAGAAACACCAGCCAGGAGAGGGCTGTGTGCATCACTCCTGGGCAAGCAACAATTGAACAGTCCTTCCTGTTTCTTAGCTGACTTGAGAAAAAAATGCAAACGCACCCACCCTTTGTGGCTAGAATAGTCCAAGGACTTCCTGGAGGCAGGAACACCAGGACTGCTCAGGCACCTGTCACCCTAAAGCCTCGGGGAACTGCTTCCCTGGGCCTGTCACTGGAGAAAGTGACCGAGTGAGCCCGTGGTAGGAAAATTGGATGCTGGAGAAAAGTAATTGAGG